TTCCTTGGGGGTCTCTACAGAAAGGGGGTCCTTCCTCGAATGCTTCCCAACATCCTATAGATGACCCTGGTCAATGTCTGCTCTCCACACAGTGAGCTCCTCTCTAAGAGGTGAGCACTCATTCACTCATTCACTCATTCACTGGACCGATACTTACTAAATATCTACTATGTGCCCACACACGAAAGCATGTATCGGTGGCTGGAGGAAGAAATGAACAACGATTTCACTTGCACAGAAGTGCAGAAAGGTGCCCTTAATAACTTTGGGGACTCCTGCTCCGGCCTGGGCTGCGCACTTTAGATTGCAGGTCACATCAGAGAAAATTAGCTTCCTCACTTATTCGCCTCACTGAGATATGATTTTCTGTTACAGGCAGCAGATTACTCAATCTTTATTTGAAACTAGGAGTGTCTGCAGATCACTCCAATCTACCCAGGCATAGCACAGGATAGTGGTCAGTTAGAGTGGATTTGATGGTTTCTTATTTTTATGTGGAGCGGGTTTTGGATGCTTCTCCATCATGTCCTTCCTCCGTCAGCCGGGAGAGTCTAGAAGCGAGGCCACCCCAGCAGCAGTGACACACCTAGCGCCCAGGTCTGGGTTTCTCACACCAATAAAAGGAACCTGGGATCCTTGGAGAATTGACTTCTTCTCAGACTGGACCAGGTAGCTACACAAGACGAGCCTGGAGCAACTACAAGTCCAGGAAAATAACAAACTGTTCCCCAAACAAATGAACAAACAAACAGCCATGATAATGGGGACATAGAATCCAACTGAAATAGATCTCAGTGGCCAAAGCCGAAACCATTTGAGCAACAAAATATAGTGTTGGATTATAACCCACTAAATTGGGTTATAATCTAGCTTTAAAAAATGTCACGAATCTGTATTGATATGTTCAAATAAATATGGGAACGGGGGTGGGGAGATAAATCTCCCATGGAGAAGAACCCCAGATACTTTATACAGATGCCCCGCCTTCCATGCACAACTGTGCACTCCTTAAGTGTGGTCTATGTGTGGTGACTTTCTTCCAAAGGGTACAGTGTGATGGGGGACGACAGTAAGCTTACAGTAGCGAATCCTGAGAAATGCCACCTCACCAGATGACCAAGGATAACACTAACAGTGACAAGTCAAGTGGACGGTATGGCCCCTTGACATGACTATGATTAAAATGGCATTTTCCCTCTGTGGTCTGCCTCTGAAAAATGTAGAACTCCACAGGTCGTTTCACAGAGAGCTCGTGGGACCCAAACCAGGAGCTCTTAATACTGCGACCAAAGACTGACGTTCTCCATAGGATGTAATCGTCACTCAATAGTGCTACGTTTTCCTGAGGACATGTAAGATTCAACTACTCATATCCATGATTGGTGATGTGAAGTACATAAATGTCTCCGAAGTGTTTAAGGAAAATGCGTAACTCTAGTCAAATCATGAGAAGAACATTTGAAAAATTCCAATAGGGGACAATTCTACAAAATACCTGACCAGGGCCAGCTGGGTGGCTCAGTTAGAGCGTGAGCTCTGAGCAACAGGTTCGCCGGTTCGATTTCCACATGGGCCAGTGAGCTGTGCCTGAGCTGAGCTGCCAACAGGCAGGTGGATGGCTCAGCTGGTGAGAGCACGTGCGCTCTTAACAACAAGGTTGCCAGTTCGACTTCTGCATGGGATGGTGGGCTGCGCCCCTCCCCCCTTCCCCCCGCCCAGCAACTAAGATTGAACATGGCACCTTGAGCTAAGCAGAGGCAAGCTGCTGGCGGGCGGCCGGACGGCTCAGTGTGCAACAAGGTTCGTTTGCCAGTTCAACTCCCACATGAGATGGTGGATTACTCCACCCCCCACCCCAAAACTAGATTGAAAGCGGCAACTAGACTTAGAGCTGAGCTGCGCCCTCCACAACTATGATTGAAGGACAACTTGACTTGCAGCTTATGGGTCCTGGAGAAACACAATGTTCCCCTCCCCAATTCCCCAATAAAAATCTTAAAAAAAAATACCTGACCAGTTCTACTCAAACTGCCAAGGTCAAAAAAGAGGAAAATCTGAGACACTGTCACAGCTACAAGGAACTTAAAGGAACGTGAGGATTAAAAGTAATGTGGGATCGTTTATGGGATCCTGGATCAGAGAAAGGACATTAGATAAAAATAAAGGAAATCTGAAGAAAGTAAGGAATTTAGTTGATAATGTATCAATATTGGCTTATTAATTGTAACAAATGTCCCATACTAATGTAAGTTGTTAATAATAGGAAAAATTTGGTTCAGGGATATTAAAAAAAAATTGCTGTACTATCATCTCAAGTTTTCCTAATACCTAAACTGTTCTACAAAATCAAGTTTTATTTTTTAAAAAAGAATCAGATGGAGCTTCTAGAGGTGAAAATTACAGTAGTAATCCAAATATAGTGGATGGAATAAAGAGCAGATTAGACACCGCAGAAGAGACTCTATAGACACAGCTAGAAAGGCGATCAGAGGACGATTCACGGGGGTCTAAGAGTGTTTGGAGGCTTTGGGCAAGGGAGTGACTTAGACAGCTATGGCTGCCACAGAACAAACGGGTGGGCCGGGGCCAGGCTGGAGAAATGGAAGCTGCGTGCCCCACCCAGGAGAGGGGAGGATACACTGGCCCGGGTGGGAGGGGAGCAGCGGGAGGGCATCGATGCAAAGGCTGATGCAACGGTACAACCAGCAGGATTCGCTCCAAGAGTTCTAGGACGACCTGTATGTTTCCAGCTTGGTACTATCCACTCAGAGACGGGGCATCACGGTGCAAAGGGTTTTATAGGAAGCTGATGAGGTCACGGTTGGGCATGCTGAGGTAGAGGCGTCTGTGAGGTATCCAGGAGATGTCCAGCCAGCTGCAGACATTGCAGCTGGAGCCCCAGAAGTCCAGTCTGAAGGTAAAGACGTGGGGTCAAAGGCACAACGTTGGTCTCAAATATCCCGTCGGGTTGGCTCTCACTCCCAAACTCCCAAAACATGATTTTCATTTAATAATTATGTATTTTTCTGTCAAGTCAACTAGACTGAACTCTTAGAAGACAGAATCCAATTTTCTCAACTTCACCCGGTAACGGAACCCAAACTTGACCTGAAGTCCTCTCGGTTCAAGTTCCACGGAGCTTCTCTCCGGCGAGCAGGCTTCACATATTGTGGCAGGTACAGCCCTTCTGGAAAGGTCACCATCTTCACCTAGTGTGCTTAACAGGAATGAGAGAAACCACGAAGCTCAATCTTGGGAAAATGTAAAAATACAATAAAATAAATAAGATGCATTTATTGCACACCAACATTTTCTCAGATGCTGTGGACATAACATCTAGTATTTTCACTCTTTATGACATCCTTACTCTAAGCGAGGTATTGGGACCTCTGCTTTACAGATGAGGAGACTGAGGTTCCCAGTGGTACAGTGACTTGCTCAAAACTTGTAGAGCCAGGAATGAAACCCTATTTTCCTGATTCCAGAAGCACAGGCTTTCCCCTGAAGCATCTTCCTGTTTCTCATGCAGTGAGTTTATAGAAAATAAATCAATAGTTAGTCTTTCTCTGTCTATTAACACAGGGATTATTAGGTTCAAAGGAACAGTGTGGGCACCTCCCATTGTTGCTAACAGCCTCTTTAATCAGTCTTCAGCCCATAATTTTGAGCTATCTTTTGAAGTCCTTGTGTGCAATCTACTTTCAACCATGATAATTCCCCTTGTAGGAGCAGGAAACCATTAGAAAGGCAGCTGGGTCACCTTCAAGGAGTAGAGAAGGACATAGAATGGCAGGCCCACACCATCAAGCTCTGTACAGGCCCAGTTTCTTCTAATCCTCACAACAGGGGATTCTCATCACCATTTTGTTGATGAGGAAAATGAGGCTTAGAGAGGTCAGGTGACTTGCCCGAGGACACACAGCTCACAAGTAGCAGAGCAGAACTTGAACTCAAATAAGCTTACACCCAAGACCATGCATTTTCCACTGCTCTTTCTGTCACCTCTCTGCTCGCTGGACCTCCTGATGGGAAAACTGGCCCCATAAACTCCTCTCTGCATTTGAACTGCTTACTGATGCGTATCGGCCAATGCAACAACATGGCCAAGTGGCAGCTCATTAAGATGGTGCACAGCCGCCACCTGGAAGAAGCGCACCTCCCAGCCACATGCATACCAATGGGAAACTGCAAATGAGGCTTGGCCTTCCGGTTGCCAAGGGAAACGGATGTCACATGGCAGATAAGGGTTTGAAAGTGGGGCAATCCAGGTTCAAAACCAGGATTCCTCCCTTACAGGTGGTGTGACCGATCGCAGGCACGTTACTTAAACGCTCTGAGTCTCCGGTTCCTTGCCTGTAAAATAGGAGTCGTGTGTGTGACTCACCTTGCTGGGGGTTAGTACAGAGTGGGGTAAAGTAGCTGCAAGGGGCCGGCAGCATCTTCACGTACCAGATGCTTTAGGAGCCCTTTTGCTGGTGACAGGATTCCCTTCCCAATCACTTCCTACCTGCAGGAAAGACCCACAGCAATTGTATTCCTTGCCTGGCTCTCAGAAAAGTTCATACAGTCATCTGGTCCAGCCCCAAAGCCCAGCTGTGAGGATGGGAAGCGTCAGGGCATATAAAAGCACTTGGTGAAACGCAAGGGCCTGTGTGCACTTTGTCTGTTGGGCAAATGGGCGAGGCTGTCACGTGTCCATCGATAAAGTCCAGGAGGAAAGGACAAGGGTTTGGGGCCGTCAAAAGTGTGAATCATCATTTTGCTACTTATTAGCTCTCATGCTCGTGCACACATCAACGCGTCTTCTTAAGCCACTGAATTTCCTCATTTGTAACGGGGGGAAATTAACTCTGATTTGAACTGGAGACATTTTCTGGCCACTGGAATGACAGGGTTAATCTCTGGAGAACACCACATGTGTGGCTGAAACACAAGACGTGATCAGAAATAAAAGGTTCCAATAGAAAGCAAAAAATGAGTTCCACTGAGAAGAGCTTTGTGTAAAATGTGTTTATTTTGGAAAGTTTCCTTGATAAAAACCGAACGTGTAACAAACACAGTATGTAAGAAGAGAGAGCCTTGCCGTGCACACACAGCCCATAGTGCAGCCGGGCGTTTCGGGGATGTGGATTGGGGGCTGGGTCTCCCGCAGGCCCTCGGAAGGTGGGACGGAGAGTGACAAGCACCCGCGGCCGGTCCCGTGTCTCATCATGTCCCTGGTGATGCCGAGGAGAGCTGGCCATCTGGAAATTCATGAGACCAGGTTACACTGGGTCCTTGGAAGTTGGGGGGGAGCGGGGTTGCTGGGGGTGTCTGTGTCTTCTGCGTGTGAAATTTATATTGTAGATTGTACATTATAAACGCACACACAGGAGGGCAGGAGAAACTAAATCGTTCTGTCTTTCCTTTGGGCTAGTCCATGCCCGAGGCCCATGTGGCCTTCTTGGCATTCAGAAAGTTCTTCTTTTTCCTGGAAGGAACGTGCAGTGAGATCTCTGGCTCCCTTGGATTCCTGAATATAAAGAGCTTTTCGCCCGTGTTTAATAAATCAATGGCTTCTGCCCCGACAATGGGCACGGGTGCCAGTTCACCGAGGGACACCAGGGACAGGTGCGGCCAGCTTCCTTGCCCAGGGAACATTATCCTCTCTCTGACAGGGGGACAAGTCTTCTTCAATATGCTAAAGAAAAAACAGAAAATCACATGGGACATTTTTGATAACCGACGCTCCTGTGTGTCCTGACAGAGTTCCCCAGGAGAGCTCCCTTTTGGTCCCTAGGTCTCCAACCTAGTGACATTTTAAAGCAAGGTTTTTTTCCTTTTGGTCACCAGATGATCCCTGAAATTAGCGGAAGCCTGTGGCAGCGGCGTGCTGCAGACAACTCTTTCTGACTCGCGACTGTTACATTTGCGGGGGTTTTATGAGCCTGTGGTCATCATGGCGCTAACCTGAAATCAGCCATGGTGGGAGAATTTATTTGCCCCACGGGAATCGGCTCAACGACAAATCAGAGCTCCTGTCCCTGTCCTCGCCGTCAGCTGTTAACCGTGGACCAGGACACCGTTGCCTGTGGTCCTCACGCTAAACGCAGGCTGATAAAAAACCTGATTACAAAGCAACAGAAGTGAGGCAAACTGTGTGTGAAGCAGAAGAGGGTGCCACGCTCTGGGAGTGCCGTCCGGGAACGCCTTCGCTCCCCTATCCTAATCGTGAGCAATCGGCATTCATGCCTTGGCGGAGCGCTTCACGTGTTCAACAGCTTGAATTTGATGTTCTTGGTTTGGGCTCAATTATTGCGACCTAATTTCTCGGGGACTGAAACTTGACCCCCAGCCTGTTCTCAGGGCCGCCAAGAATTTTATCCTGGACAATTCAGGCAGCTTGGCCTCAGCACTTTCACCTGAGCCCTGAGAAATTCTGGAAGACACTCCCCTTGCACACCCGCTCTCTCCAGAGCATCTCCCGGACGCCACTTTTTAACCCACTGTGGATCTGCCTGGGGTAGGTTCTCTCTCCAAACCTTCTCTAGGGGGAAACACCGGAGACCCTTGTTTGCAATCTCACAGCACTCGGCCCAAGCTTCCCTCTGGTCCGGGTGTGCAATAACCACAATTAGAGAGAAAGATACTTGATACGAGAAAGCGCTGGCCTGGGAGCTTAGGGAAATAGAGGGGTCACTCAGATGTCCCCAACCCCGGGGCCACCATTTGCAGCTGCAGGCCTGCGGCTTCCTCCTCTGACCTCCCTGAGCCCCAGGTTCATCACCCCCACTTAGGGAAAGTCTGGCAGACGCACTGCAACAAGGCAGGAAAGGGCTTTGTAAGCTATAAAGTCAGAACAGCTGTAAGGTATGATTCTCCTTCTCATGATACCCACTCAAAAAGTTCCATTAGTGAAAATAAATGCAGTGATTGAAATACCAATGGAGGATAAGTGAACTATCACCCACTGATCGCTGCAGGCCTATCTTCAGCTCCCGAAGCGGCCTCCCTGGAATAAAGCTTGTGGTCTTCAGGCAGGCATGCTGGGACGCACGCCGCAGCCCTCCCCGTCTCGGCGCCTCCACTCCCCAGCCCGGCTCCCAGCCTGACCCTCCCAGCCCACCTGCGCTCGTCATTACCTCTCCTTCCGCTGGCGAGCCCACAGCACCCTTTCCAGTCCTCTGCTTACGAGTTCTCCGCGCAGTCTGCTCTCTAAGGCTTGCCACCAGCCCTGGTGCTTCCTGAAGACAAGAAGGCAGTGTCTCACATTTTCAGAAAGGACCATCTTCCGGTGAGCCGTCATCATAAACAGCTCCGTGGGCTCCACCCTGACATGGGGAATTTGGGGTGTGCACCAGGTGCTCTCTCACTCCTCAGTGCATGTTGACTAGGCCCCCTCTCTGGCCTCGTCCAGACACAACCTCTGCCCTCAAGGGGTCCCCAGTCCAGAGGTCACAGGTGGGTAACAGGTGACATCAGTCAGGCAGAGGAAGGCTGCCAAGAGGTGGGGACACCTGAGCTGAGTCTTGGCGTCCCAGCGAAAGGAGGGTGTGAGAGTCCAGTCGCTCCCGGGACAGGCCAGGCTCCCCCGGGAGTCTCATCCTGAGGGCAGCACCCCAGGGAGGATGGCTCCCTCCTGCCCGTCCCAGGACCCCAGCAGTCAGCTCCTCCTGAGTTCTGACAGGTCCCTCGTTCACCCTTTCTTGCTTAGTCAGTGTCTGTTGCTTGAAACCCAAGACCCTGAAATGCTGCTGTGACCAGGCACCAGGCACTTGGGACACTAGAGTAATGTCTTTCCTGCCCTCAGAGACTATGGTGCAGGGTCTGGGACGTCAGGACTCATCCAGTCCACCTAGCCATGAGGCCGGCCATGGTCATGCTCCACGCTTCTGGTGACAGCCACTCTGAGTGCTCTCACCTCATCCCACATCAGTCTGCCCATGCCACACAGGTCTCCCAAACTAAACTGGTCCAAGGGGCAGTCCCTTAAACAAGGTCCTCATGGGTGGCCCTCGGGCAGTAGTAGCATCCCTATAACCAGACAAGTTCCTGCTCCAAGGTCACCTCCAATATCTGCCTAGCCCTCCCTGTTTGTGCCCTGGGAGAAACCGAGCTGTGACATGCAGCCCTCTGACCACGCCCACATAGTCCTGGCCACGCCCACACCCAGTCCCGACCACGCCCACACCCGGCCCTCCTGAGCGTGTTGGACCCCGCCTGCACTAGGGAGGCTCTTCCTCGCCCCTGTGGACCCCCACCCCTACCCCACATCTGTTGTTCCCACACTCCCACCCGTCCTCTCAGCCCTACTCTTCACCCTCAGCAGTGCTTCTCACCATTTTGAGTCAGGGACCCCTTTACGACTCTGATAAAAAGACACTGCCCCTTCTCTTAGGAAAAGTAATGTACATACATGCGCACCCACCGTCGTGCCATTTCGACAGATTCATGGCTCCCCGACGCCCACTTCCTGCCTCCTATGAATTCTGGTAGAGACGCAGGCTTCCCTGCCTGGCATCCAACACTTTCAGGCCTGGTCGTGGCTTTCTTTGCATCCTTGACTCCCCTGCCCCCAACTCTAGTCTCAAGAGGCACTGCTGGCTGCTCCCCAAACCTGCTTCCGCCCACACCCCCGCTTCCTGCCTTTCCTCATAGAGACTTCACTGACCTGAGTCACACCTGGAGCCTGAACCTGAAGGAGAGACTCTACACGGCATTGTCCCCGGTCAAGGGAAAAGTGAGCCCAAACTAAATGTCCCGTAGCAGGGTCCCATGTGAGAGGGTCACGGAGCCTACACTGCGCTGCGCGCCTCAGGGACTAGGAGGCAGCCATTAAAAACCACACCCTTGAAGGACTTTCAGTAACTGTGAAAAGGACAGATTTTAAATTGTTCATTAAATATAGACTAAGTAGTGTGGTAATTATATAAATAGACGTGTGCACATGGCTAAGAGTTGAGGGGAAATCAGCAAACCTTCTGCTAGAAGGTTCTGGAAAGCAGGATGTAAGGTTGTGTATACCGGATCACACACACACGCACTCACACACACGCACTCACACACACGCACTCATGCACTCACGCACGCACTCACACACACTCAGAAAACCCAGCAGAGAAACATTCAGGAGGAAGAACTGTAGCAAAATGCTAACAGTCATTTTCTCTACTTGGAAGAACCAGGGACTTTTCTCCTTTTTCCTCTTATGCATTTTTTTACACTGTTTTTAATGTGTGTGTTTTCTACACTGTCTTTAACGTGTGTATGGCATATGTACAGCCCAGGAAACTTATATTCTTAAGATCCTGCTTGAAAAATAAATTGGTGATGGAAAGAGCAAATGTGGGCAAAACACTGGGCCCAGCAGGCCATACAAAAAGATTTGGGGTGACTCTGCCCCCCAAGCGATGAAGTACGGACTGGGGAAGGCGTGTGCGCGCGCCTGTGCCTGTGGGGGTCCCACTGCCCTCCCTCCGTCTGTTTTCTTCACGAATCTGGCTCACTGTTTTCCAACGGGAGCGGGACGCTGCACTCACCCCCTCCTGCCCAGGTCGGCTGGCTCCCCGCCGCCGTCGTTCTCCACCGTGTGCTCTGGAAACTTCTGGCTGACGGAATCCAGCACCGCCAGCAGCTCGGGCTGCGAGGCTGTGGGCAGCGCCACGCTCAGGAGGCGGCGCAGCGTGCCCGCGGGCACCATCGTCAGCTTGGACAGGTACGAGGCCAGTCTCAGCTCCTGGGGGAGTTAAGGCAGGCGGCTCAGACCCTCAGCGCTGTAACCCTGCCCAACAGCAAGTTGTAATGGATTACAGGCTTAGGACGCCTTGTCCCAGGGAAATAAATATTTTAGTAGCCCAGTCTTAAAAACATGTCCCCAGATGCGCAGAGCTGTCAGAAAACATTGGTCAGCAGCCTTGGCTCTCCATGACATTTCCAAAGCCTCATCTGTCCCTTCTGACTCCTCCCAACTCACTTGGCACAGCCCAAGCCCTGGCCTGCGGCAGCCAATTAGTAGCTTAGTTCTTGTCCCACCCATGTTCCATGAGGCGATACATACAGCACGGGGATACATACAGCGCAGGCTCTGCAAACAACTGAGATGCTCCTAAACCAACGGACAGTTAAAGAAACCATGCTACGACCATAACATGAAATAGCAATAAAAAGAAGGAAGTGTATGGATTTCAAGGGCATTACGCTGCATGGAAAAAGCCAGTCTCCACAAGTCACATCCTGTATGATTCCACGTGCATGACACTCCAGAACCGACACAATTTAGATGGAGAACGGAGTCGCGGTTACCAGGGGTGGGGGATGGGGGAGGAGTGGGTGTAACCGTAAAAGCAGATCTTTGTAGTCACCAAATTGTTCTACATCTTAATTGTAGGTTACACATGTCTACATGTGACAACGTGACATAGATTTTAAAGCACTGTCCATGTCCTGGTTTTGATATTGGACTAGAGTTTTATAAGGATGCAACCGATGGGAAACTGAGTGAAATATGGGGTGGGGCACCAGGACTCTCTAAGGTAGCTTGGCAACTTCTTGTGAATCTGAAATTATTTCAAAATAAAAGGCAGAGAGCGAGAGCGAGAGCGAGAGCGAGAGCGAGAGCGAGAGCGAGAGCGAGAGCGAGAGAGAGA